GGGGCGAGGGGTATTGCTCAGCAGCACAGCACCTGCCTGGCAAGTTCAATTCCTGTATCAAAAAAAAAGCAAATCTGGATATAGAACCAAAAATATTTTCAGACACTTTTTTAGGCCTTTAAAAGCAGTATAGAAAAGGAGAGTGAAAAATTCTATTTTGGGAGGGAGTGAAAAATTGTATTGTGGAGGGGTGAGACTGGGTCTTCCTATGTAGTTCAGTTTGGCCTTGAACTCCCTATGTAGGATAAACTTCAAATTTGCAGTGATTCTCCTGCCTCAGCTTCCTGAGACTACAGGTATAGCCATCGGGTGGCTCAAGAACTGCTGCTATTGTAACTGAAGTACCGACATATTATAAACAACATTCCCCTCACCCGAAATGCTAATTAAAGTGAGTTCTGAAATGGACTCTCTCTAGAAATTCGAGAATTTAGCCAAAAGCAGTTATAAAAGGTTAAATTGGAATTATTGAGGAGCGTTTCTTTGGAGAGTGAGGCCAGCGTGCTGGGCTTCCTCTTGCAGGCACCCACCTCCCTCTCACCTCAGGCTGTGGGAGGCACCTTCCACAGAGCCACAGATCCCACCATACTGGGGGGATCCCTTGCAGTGAGAGGGGCTAGGTGGGCCTTGGCCTGACTCCCAGGCTGGCAACTGTTCTGGCAGCAGAGTGAAGCAGTACTGACGCTGTCCTGGGTTTGGCCCGTGCTTCCACATCCGTGTAGGAAAAAGTTCACAGGGGCTTCCTGTGGGGCTGGTGGGGGCCTACCTAGCACCATGAGGAAAAAACCCTTTTCTTCCAGACATTTCTCTGGATTTGTTTGAACAAAACACATTACTGCCACCTGCTGGAAAACGGTCAAAATAGACACACAGTATATAAATCTACAGGGAAGATTTGAATGGCACCAGGTAGGATGATGGAAAGCGCAGCCTTGTACAACAGGCAGGGTGGCAAAGGACCAGGGTAATGGTCATTCTAGAGTTTACCTGATGGCACTCCTACAGAGAGGAACAGGCTAACACACAAGGGGTTGGAGGGGCCCACTAGATTTCTAGGAGCTGAAAGAGGGTGTAAACACTGTGGAGGAGAGTAACAACTGCACAGAACAAAGGAATTATGGGTAAGAAGCCAGCGGGGTGGTCTCTAAAATAATCATAAAAATGTCTTATGAGAAAAAGCTTTAATCTACTAATCTCAAGAAGAATCTTTTTCTAGCTTTGTTTGCCTCCCTCCATCCCTACCATTCTTCTTTCCTCCCTCACTCCCTTCCTTCCTTTAGGTTGAGATTATAGAGTCTGGGTTAAACTCACTATACACACTAAATTGGTCTCAAACTCATAATCCTTTTTCCACAGCCTTCTGAGTGCTGGGATTACAGGTTCGGCTCCCAGAGAATGTTAAACCATTGAATGGAAGTGAAACTTAAGGCTTTTCCTGCTGTCTTTTTCTTTCTTCTTTCTTTCTCCCTTTGGCTCTTGGATAGTAAACTAGTAGAAAGACTATGTATGTTAGAGAAGACAGTGCTCTCCTCTCCAGAGCGAGTAGTGAGCCAGTTGTTCCCAGATGGAGAACAGGAACAAGTTTCACGATGTCACTTAATGATCATAGGACCTTCTACTCCAAGGGGAACCACAGAACTCATGGAAACTGTACAAGTTTAATTAGGTGCATGAAGGATGTAAAGGAATAGCAAAAGATAAAATGTTTTAAAAAAATTATACCTCATGAGGCTGGATGTGGTGGCACACTCCTGTGATCATAGCACTCAGGAAGCTAAGGCAGGAGGATTGCCCTAAGTTTGAGGCATCATGGGCTACAACAGTGAGTTTAAGATCAGCCTAAACTACTACCAGATCCTGTCTCCAAAAAAAAAAAAAAAAAAAAAAAAAGACAGAAAAAAAGAAAATAATGTATCTTCATTTGATGTGCTGAGTTTTACAGGGGGAAAATGGTAACTAAATAAAAATTGTTTTTTTTTTTTTTTGTCTTTTTCGTTTTTACTGGTACCAGGGATCGAACTCACGACTGCCTGCTTGCAAGGCAGGCACTTATGCCGCTGAGCTAAATCCCCAGCCCCTATAAAAATTGTTTTTGAAACAGGGGCTTGCTATGTACTTCAGGCTAGCCCTGAATTTGGTATGATCTTCCTGCCTCAGCTTCCTTCACCTCCCCAGCATGCTGGGATTACAGGCATGTGCCACTACACTTGAGTCAGTTTTTTGAGAACCCATATTTTGGGACTAGGGAACGTAAATGCAAGGGATTTCCTGTTCCTGGGTGTTTCTATCTTGGGTTATGCACCTGGCTATGATTAAGCTTTTGAAGCAGTCACAGCCTGTTCTACAAGCATGAAGTAGAAGTAAAGCTTCTACTTCAAGTGTTTAGCTTAGTCTGGTGGTGCATGCCTGTAATCTCAGGATGACTGTGAATTCAAGGTAGTCTGGGCTATATAATGAATTGAAGGCCAGCCTGAACAGTATAGTGAGACTGTCTCAAAAAAAAAAAAAATTGTGCTGTGAATTTAACTGACAAAGATAGTGTAGCTAGTATAACTAGTCCCATTTATGTCTTAGACACGCTCCTGGCACTGGTATTTTTTGGGGGGGGTACTGGGGATCTTTTTTTTTTTTTTTGTCTTTTTCCTTTTTATCGGTACCAGGGATCGAACTCATGGCTGCCTACTTGCAAGGCAGGCGCTTATGCCACTGAGCTAAATCCCCAGGCCCCCTGGGGATTGACAACCCCCCCCCACCCCCCACCCCAAGAATCAAACTCATGGTGCTGTGCCGCTGAGTTATATCCCCAGCAACCTTTTCATACTTTAAAATGAGATCTTGCTAAATTCCCTAGGCTGGCCTCTGTCAATCTTTGTGCTTCAACCTCAGGAGCAGCTGTGATTACAGGTGTGCATTACCACTCTTGACTCAGATAATTGCTTTTTTGTCTATTCAATTGATATAGGGGAATGAAACTCCAGACCTACTATATGTCTGGAATGAATTCATGTTCTCTAAAATCAAAGAATAAATTTTAGCAACAATGGAGGTTAAGAGCAGAAATATTTATTGAGAGGAAGAAAGCGTCTGCCTGAGACAGAAGAGGTCCTGAGTGGGTTACCAAAGATTCTGTATTTTCTTGGGATTTTTAAGAGTAAAATCATGAGGTGAGATGGGTCTAAAATTGAGGAAAATGGAACTTGAAAGGCACACAGGCATGAGGTGGAATAGAGCTATGGTCAACCTATAAATTTAATTGTTCAGGTAAAATTGACCAAATCAGGGACAAATGGGGAGGAGGGTCACATAGCAAGTGAGCATTCTTTATGGATCAGACTCTTCCTCTAGAGGTTGGGATGGTGACTCTTGGCTTCTCAAAGTGATCCAGACTTGCACCCTTAAGGGTTTGTTTTGCTTTCTGTCCCAAGATCTGGTCCACATTGAAGTGTCTACTCCAAGGTCACCAGACAATGTTGTTTTCTTCAAGGGCGTAGCCCTGTCTGACTGCCTATAATATTTTTAACTAGTGGGGCTAGGGATTTAGCTCAGCACCATAAGTGCCTGCCTGGCAAGAGTGAGGTTATAAATAGAATCCCTGGTTAAAAAAAAAAAAAATTCTAACTAGCTCAGCTGCTTGAAACACAATTACATGGGAGAACCCTATAGTTTGAGAGGACTACTTGTTGAGTTTGGAATCAGTATGGGCCTCTGTATGTTCATACAGGATATACAGAAATTGTTTGCTATGATGTTATTTGTTGATCTTATATACTAAAAGCCAGAATATGGTAAACACTCAGTAAGTATCTACTGAATAGTAAATACAAATTGGGACTTGAGTGTGTGTTGCTGAGAATAATACCCAGGAAGTGCTCTGCCACCGAGCTACATCCCCAACCTAGAATTTAAAATTGTAATTGCCTTGGTACAAGTAGTATTTGGTACTAGTTGGTTCTATCATTAGAATCTGTTAATATCTGCTGGACAGAGTGGGAGCCCCAGGACAGGTTCTTATTTAGATTCTCCTGGTTCCATATATTGTGGACCCCACCCTTCAGTTATGACAGCATCAACTGGGCATGTGATATTTTAAGTTACAGATGATTTTAGTTTCTCTGAGGAAACCTGGGAACCACCCTGGTCTCTGTGACACATTTGCAGATCATCTCACTGGGTGAATTTTTATTTTTATAAGTCTTGTCCCAACTTCTATGAGGGCTTCGTTTTACATTTTCCAGGTTACTGACTTCCAATGCAGGCAGGTAGGGTACGACCAAATTGTGGTGGTTCATATTTTTGCAGACACCCCAAGTTCTTTGTGAAGGTGTGGATCACCGTGCCCTCAAGAACTTCAAAGGGCGAACACTGCGTTTTTTTCTCAATGGAAGATCTCAAAGCCCTTAAAGACCAAAGGAGAGAGAGACTGGCTACTGTTGTGAGCGAGAGGGGGTGCACGGGAGGCCTGGGTGGCTATGCAAGCGAGGGGAGACTCCTTAAGTTGAGAGTTCATTCTTTCTGCCCCCTTTCAGCTTTGACAGCGAAGCTCATTTAGTCGAGGAAGCTTATTGATTCCATACTTCCGGGCCTTTTGGGCCCAGAGGCCTGCGGATCGCTCTGAAGTCTGGGTCAAGTCCTTCGATGAAGAAGGGGTGGGGGTGCGGGAAGGGCGCAGGTGCAACCCGGCAATCCTGGATCTAACCTACAGACGCGAACGTGAATCATCACTTAGGCCGGCCTGGCGGCTTCCTGATAAGGTCTCTCTGTAATCCTCACCCACATCAGGGCACCTGGGCTTTTCTGGAAGTCTCCTCAGAGATCGGCGCGGCCTGTCTTCCTGATTTCCCCTTTATCCCTTCTATGTCCCCTGCTCGGTTCCGCTTCTTCACATCTCAAGCCCAACACCCTCACACTCCTCTGGCGGCGGGCTCCTGGGCGCTGCGGGATCTCCCGCCAGCCCGCGGCGCTCGCCCCTCCCCTCCCACGCACGTCACGTCCGGCCCGGCCCCCGCCCCTGCCCGCCCTGCGCCCTCCGCCCTCCCGCTCGCCGTTAGGGAGGCTCTGCGCCTCAGCCGTTGCCTCTGTTGCCCCTCCCGCCCCTTCTTCCGCGTCTCCGCCGCCGCCAGCACTGCTACCGCCGGGGAGAATCCGGGGTCGCTACCGGGCTGGCCGCGTGCCACAACCGTCGCTTCAGCCTCCAGTCAGCGGCTGCCTCAGGGAGAGGCTCGCCGTTCGCGGAGCCACCTAGGGCTTCCGTTCTCGCTCTCCTGCCGTCGCCGCGGGTCCTGGAGAAGCGGCCGCGGCCGGGGAACGGGGCTTCGCGGTTCCAACGGTAGGTAAACGGGCGGATACCCGGCTCTGCGCATGCGCGGGCCGCCAGTAGCTGCGGCCCTCCCCTGCTACAGGCCCCCCTCCCCCCGGCGGCGCGTCCCACCCTAGCCGGCTCCCGGGCGCAGTGTTCCCGAGTCTCAAGGACCCCGGGGACGGTTCTGCCGGTGGAGTTCAGTATAGAGAGGCCTCTTTCCGCTGCAGAAAGGAGGAGATGAGGTGGTGCCCCTGCTGCCAGGGGGTGTGGCAGCCTTCGATTTTTCTCCCGCTGCAGTCTCGTGAGCGCGTGTCTCTGTCCCCCGCGGTCCTCTGAAATAGAAGGCACTACACCCCTCAGTTGCTCGCTGGTACCTTCCCTGCCTACCCGCCTGTGCCACTTCCGACCCCGTTTCGATCATGCTGGGCAGTGAAGTTGATGCAGAAAAAAAAGCAATGTGGTTTCTGTCGGGCTCAGCTGCGCCTCTTTTTAAGGTCACGTGAGATGAGTGGTTGTTGACTTCCTTAAATTGCTCAGAATGTGGCCCAAATTGGCCTGTTGGTGCACTGGGCCTTATCAAGAAAGCGCGCTGCTCAGTCCTGCCGGAAGGGTTCCTTCGTATTGCGTTAAGTTTCAGATGGTTTCCTAGATAAGGATATGGGGAAATCGAATCAGCGCCCTTGCCCAGTGGGAAATTGTTAAATACTTCTTTTATAGTTAAAACCAAAACAACTTGGGCAAAACATTCGGGACCCCACCTGTCTTTCAGGAGCTATTTCTATTCTCCAATAAATTTTCTTACTCTCGAAAAAAAAGTTAAGGCGACTTTTAGAAAAACAGTTTCTTGGTTCCCCATCAAGCCGTCTAATCAATGGAAAAAAGTTGGGCATAATACATACTTTCGAGGAGGTAAGCCAAAAATGATAGCCTGAGCCACATTAACGCAGGCTAACATCCTATCACTGGGGCGCGCTTGATTTTGGAGGCGGACATTAAAAGATGATTTTTAATAAGTTGAGTTTCTGTGGTTTGGGTTAATGTGAAACTATGCCTTAACCTTCCTTTTTTAAACCTTGAAATACTTGACCTGGGTTTCTCATAGTGGTGTGGATACTTGAGTGAAATCGAATGAGCTCGTCGTTATATGTATATCCATTAAGTGTCTTTTCTGTATGTTTTCGGTTTTTTGTTTGTTTGTTTTTTGTCATTGGGGCAATATTTTCTCCAGTTTAGCTGTCTGAACAATTAGGCATCTGTGTGATACATTTATATTCTTTTTTTTTTTTTTTTTTTTTTGTCTTTTTTCCTTTTCATTGGTTCCAGGGATCGAACTCACGACTGCCTGCTTCCAAGACAGGTGCTTATGCCGCTGAGCTAAATCCCCAGCCCCAATACATTTATATACTTGAAAGATGTTGAGGAGCAGGCATATCAACTGTTGCAAAAAATTCATCATTGAGTTAAAAGAGTTACTACATTTTTTATTTATTTTACTTATTTATTTTTTTTGGTACCTGGGCTCAAACTCAGGACCTCACCCTTGCAAGGCAGGCGCTTAGGCCACTCAGCCCCTATTAAAGTGTTTTAAGACAGAAAATGGTTGAAATGAATTGGAGTAACGTGTTTTCCTGCCAATAAAATGACAACTACTTTGAGTGTCATTTATAAATAATCTTAATCCAGCTGGCCTGGCTCCCCTATTGTACACCAGTTTTAAATTTGGGGACTATAATAGTGTAAGTTATTGCAAAGATTACTTAAATTTTATTTTTATTTTTATTGTCTTTTTCTTTTTTATCGGTACCGGGGATCGAACTCACGACTGCCTGCTTGCAAAGCAGGCGCTTATGCCGCTGAGCTAAATCCCCAGCCCCCAATTACTTAAATTTTAAAAATGAAAAGGTTTTTTTTATCACGCTGGGGACAAAATCCAGGGCCACATATGGTAGGCAAACATTCTGCCTCTGTACCACACTGCCAGCTCCTCAAGAATTCTGGTGTTCTTTTTTTTTGTGCTGGGAATCTAACTCAGAACCTTGCACTTGCCAGGCAGGCACTGTGCCACTAAGTTATTTCTCCAACCCTAAGAATTCTTTAAAAATTGTGGCATCAATTTTTAAAGCACATGCCATCAAAGCACATGCCTATAATGTCAGCACTCTTGGGGACTGAGACAGAAGGCTGGGAAGTTTGAACTTGTCTCAAAATACAACATTAAAAAAATTGGAAATATAGGGAAAAATGAAGACCTTGGCTTCAGTCTTCACTGTGTAGCCCAGGCTTGCCTTCAACTCGAACTGATTCTCTTGCCTTGGCTTCCCTCAGCTGGGATTACAGGGGTGCTGCCAAGGCCTGTGAACTGAATTTAACCGTTGTTGAGAGTACAGTTTAGGGGTATTGAGTGCCTGTGTGATACTGTGTAACTATCAGTGCTCTTCATTTCCACAGCTATTTCATACAGAAACTCCATTCTCATCAGATTAACTTCTTATTCCTTGTTTTCCCTAACCCTCATAAACCCGTTTCTCTGACTTTATCCAGTCATGTAGGTGGAATCATACATTTGTTTCTTTATTTTGTTTTTGTTTTAAAAATTTTGTTTCGTTTCTTGCTTATTTCTCTTAGCGTATTGTTTTCAAGGTACATTCGTTATTGTTTGTTGCGTTATTGTTTGTTGCTGGACGTGCTAAACATGCACTGTACCGTTGAGCTGTACTTCCAGCCCAGATTCATCCATATTTGAGCATATATCAAAATTTCTTTTATAAGACCAGGTGTTCCATTGTGTTTATGTACCATATTTCATTAATCCATTCATCTGTTGATGAGTATTTGGGCTGCTTACACCTTTTGGGTATTGGGAAAGTTACTGCTATAAGGGTGTGCAAATAACTTCAACTCATTTCATTTCTTTTGGGTATAAGCCAGAAGTAGAATTGCTGGATCATGTAATTTATGTTTTTTTTTTTTTGTCGTTTTCATTTTTATCGAACTCACGACTGCACACTTGCAAGGAAGGCGCTTATGCCGCTGAGCTAAATCCCCAACCCTGAAATTTATGTTTAATACTTTGAGGAGCTGTTGAGGGCTGGGGGTTTAGCTCAGCGGCATAAGCGCCTGCTTTGCTAGTGCGTGGTCGTGAGTTTGATCCCTTGTACCAATAAAAAGGAAAAAGACAAAAAAAGACAAAAAAAATACTTTGAGGAACTGCTATACATTTATTTATTTATTTATTTATTTATGTGTGACTAGGTCTTGCTGTGAAGTTCAGGCTGGTCTTAAACTCACTGTGTATCCCAGACAGGCCTTGAATTTGTGGCAATCCTGTCTGGCCTGCTGAGTGCTGGTATTACAGGCATGTACTGCCATCCCCAGCCAAGTTAAATCTTTTATTTGAAAACCTAATATTTTTGAAGGTAAATAAAATAATGAAGTTTTTCTAACATAAGAAAATTTCTATTTCACACATGAATAATGAAGAGATTGCTTTTATTTTTAAGAGGCCAGTTTTTTATCTGAAAAGATTTAGAGTTTGTATATGTTTTGATCTCAGCTAAACATATATCAGTAGCAACAACCTATTTTCATCACAGAATATTTACTTTTTTTTTCCGGTCTTTTTTGAGATGGGGTCTCGTTATGCAGTTCAGGCTTGCCTTGAGCTCACTTTGTCGCCCAGGCTGGTCTCGAACTTGCAACAATCCTCCCACTTCAGCCTCCCCAGTGCTGGGATTACAAGCGTGAGCCACCACACCCGGCTCATCGCAGAATATTTAAAAAGTACTCATTAAATGAAGGCATTATTTTCATCAATGAATGCATGCTTCTGAAAGAGATTTTCTTCATTTGTAAAGTGTTTCATTACAGACTAGGAGTTGAGGGGAGGGAGTTACTTGATGTCAAAAAATAAGTGTGGTATTTGAACTTGATCATAGTGTTCCCCGCGATTGAAAGGGTAGGGGTGTCCCCAAGAAATGTCATAGATTAATTAGTGAGTACCTGGCTGGTTGGAAATGGAAACAATGGAGGCTATTTAGAATGGAGTATGTTCTGTCATAAGGCTGTTTTAATGCACCAACTTTGTGTAGATAGAACATTAAATAGATATGAATTCCTTCTGTGCAGCTTAATACATTTGAATGAAATTTTATCGATTTTCAGTGAGAACAATAGTTGTTGCTTATAAAAGGCATCCACCTTAAATTCAGCTGAAGTTCTAGTCACTAGTTCAGTGGTAACTGTGTACCAGTTTCTTCAGCTCCCAGAGTTTTCTCTTCCTCCTCTGAGAAAGATTGGTTCTGTTGGGTAGTAAACCGCAGTTTGGAAATGCACTGCAAATGCAGATACCCAGGTTGTGCTGTTGGCTGGGGTTCCAAACTGGAAAAACAAAGATGAAGTCTTGGTTTCTTTGCACATTTTTTTTCCATGGTGTTAAGATACTGGCATTTTTGCATATTTTTTGATCAGAGTTCACAATCTAGTGATTATAGCTACTTCTTTTTTTTGTTTCTATATCAGCTTCCCTTTTTTGCAGAGCAGGTTTTTGTGGTTTTTTCCCCCCCCCTATGGTACTGGGGATTGAATGCATGACCTTTACATTGAGCTGTATTTCTACACTTTTAAAAAAATTTTAACCTGCTGTGTTACCCTGGCTGTCCTCGAACTTCATCTTCCTCTCTTAGCCCCGCAGATTGCTGGGATTTCAGATATGCATGACCATGCCTAGCTCATTTTCTGATCATAGTGTTTTTTTAGAAAACAGTGAGTTATTGTGCTGATACTTTGTTGGAAGAGTTAACTTAATAATTAATTTAAACAAAATCATGCTAAGTTAGTGAACCAGTGACACTGAAGTGCATGTAAGGAAGGGAACGTGTTGGGAACCATGTTGCTCTAGCATAGGGTTAGCAAATCTGGCACTTGTGTTGCAGTGAGTTGTTTGTATCATTGAAAGCTCTAAAAGGGCTTGCCATCACTGCTGTAGCATCTTGGAAGCTGATGCTCTCCCCAACTCTTGAGACAGGATC